AAAACATCGCAAAGCGATTTTTCCCCATAGGCAACATCAGTATGCGATCGCAAAAGCGATGGCAAAAATGCCATCGCTATGCGAATTCATCGTTAAACAGGGCACTCGTTATACGAGGCACCACTGTATATGTATGTGTGTATATGTGTATGTATGTATTTATGTATAAACAAACAAATAAATAACGCTTGCACCTTCTCCATTCATCTTACCCTCATTCTCCCATTTCTTATTGCTGGCCCATCTTCTGCCAACCTCAACACATAAAGATCCATTTTGTACTCCCGTCCTCCTCGAATACTGAATCCAAATCCTTTGGCTCCTTTTTCCATGTCAACGGTAAAATAATCAAAATCCTGTATAGTCAAAGAACATTGGAAAAATAGATTAATGAACAAAAGCATTCTTTTTTTTAAAATTGCGGATAAATAACAGCTTGCTTGGATATAAACAGTTGAGCCTAAATCCAATGTAATGCTAGTGGAGTAAAACCCTCTCTCTCTCCCAGTACAGTTGTCCTCAATTTTGCTGTTGCACAAGAGCATCTCTTGCCCTCTTCAGAAGAGCCCCCCCACTTAAGCCTTGAAATCATTTAGGTGTGTGTACCATGGTGAGGGTTCAAGTGGAAAAGTTGTTTTTAGACAAGGTGGATGGATCATATTTAAAACTGATTTTGCACAAATGCTTCTACAAAACTGTACTGCTGGCCACATTTGTACTGCCTCTGAAAATATCCAGTTACTCATACAACAGAACTTTCCCTTTGTGCCATAATATCATTGAATAATCAAGATGATTGACTGGGTTCATAGTAGGGCCCATTATGTACACTTATTACTTTGTGGCAGTCTTGGTGCTGTGGAAGGAGGGCACCTAATATAAAGTACTCCAAGTGAAGCCCCCATAAACATCATTAATCTTTCATTCCATTTTTTAAGGTGGAAGAATTATGCAAGGATGGTGTCCAGGTGCCCAGCCCTCAGAATGGTGTATCTTTGTCTAACATTTAAGGAGGACATACCTACTTTATCACTTGTATGTATGTATGTATGTATGTATGTATGTATGTATGTATGTATGTATGTATGTATGTATGTATGTATGTATGTGTGTGTGTGTGTGTGTGTGTGTGTGTGTGTGTGTGTGTGTGTGTGTGTGTGTGTGTGCGCGCGCGCACGCACACGCTCTGCCTTTCTCCTGAAAAGGACCCCGAACGACTTACAGTATTAAAAAACAAACAGTATTAAAATCTAAGAACATTAAATTATTGAAGTATTTAACAAGAATGAAAGATATACAATGTTAAATCTAGTAGATGAAAAGAATTCTAAAACACATTAAAAAACAAAAACACAAGTCTTGTTTTAAGGACTTTCTCTTAGGCAGACGGACACAAAGAGAAAGCCTACTTGAAGACTGTGTAGACTGTTGCCATCCAGTAAGCATTCAAACAAGGCCTAAGATTTACTGACTGCATTTAAGGATAACATTAAATCAAAATTTGTGGTGATGCAAATAGGTCTAAGTGAGCCACAGGCTCTTGTGTGCCATACTCTCCACACCTCTTCTCAGGCTTTTAGTATGGCTGAGAGAAGATTGTTTTTGATTAACCCTAACTTGCTGTGTTATTTGAACAGGACAAAACTGTGGTTGACCTTAGCAATAGTTTATGTGAAACAAGGCAGCTTCAAATAATGTCCAAACAAGCTCTCAATCACAGGCTAAACTGAGGTTAACCAAATACAGAAGCAGGGAGGTTCCTGAGTCCTCATGTTCACACCAGAGGAAAGGAGGGGAGACTGGAAGTATGCAAGTGCCCTTCCTATCATTGTTTATTGGTTGTGATGTCTCAACCCAGACAAAACACTTAGGGTATCAGCAGGTAAACACTTAGAATATGTTGCACTCACCCCCTCAAGAAATTTGTGTCACTAATTTCTATTAGTAAAAGGATAGGCGAAATCCCCTAAGCAACAATCAATACAATTTTGGAAAGGAGGTTTGTAATAAAGAATTCCCATAAAAGGGTCCCGTGGGTATGGGGGTACACTGTGTTTTAGATTGTATTAGTAAGTATTTTGTATTGTTGTATTTGTTTTGGAAATTTAAATTTTTTTTAAAAAAATTGTGTCACAAAACATTATATTATTCCAGCATTGTGGCTCATTAAAATCTGCCTCAAGCGGGAACGTCCATATAAATAAAACTGAAGAGAGTGGAACAAGCTTACCTAGCAGTAATCCCAGTGAATTGCATGGGATGTACTTCCAATGAAATGATACAGGATTAGGTTTCAGATTTGTTTAAATCTTAGTGTTTCAACTGTAGATTGCTGATAAGGCTGCCAAGGAGATTTTGGGAAGATTAAACACTTCTCTTAGAACATTTGGAAAGGCTGTTTACGCCTAACTTTCAAATGCGATGTTTTCTCATCCTGAATCTCTGAGGAACACCGATTTGAATTATACAACCATGTGTTATACAACCTGTATCACTGCATGCACAGAGTCTCTTTCCCACACATAGTTCAGACATGATCTACTAAATTAACCAAATCAAGGAAAAAAGCTTTCTCTAGATTGTTTGGAGGATGGTAAATGTTCTCCCACTAAGATACCCTTTGCCAGCTTAGAAAATTTGGAGATATCCCACACTACATGCCTGCTCTGTTAATTGCCAGTTTCCTATGGGAAGAGAACTTAATATCATCATCTTAGAGTGGCAGAGCTGGAAAAGACCCTATGGATCATAACTTCCAGCCCCTGTCAAGGAGACACAGTGGGAAAGTGAACTCTTAATCTCTGGCTCTGCAACCAGATACCTAAACCTCTGAGCTATCCAGCAGTTCATATGAAGGAACATTCAAACATGGTCTTCACCAACTGCTGTTTAGAATCAGTTCACTTTGGGAAATCTCTAGGCAATTCTGTTCATGTCAATAAACTGGTCCACACAGAATTACACTATTCTTAAAGCTTTTTCCTATGTTCAGTGCAGTGCAAATGATTGATCCAGTTTAGGTTCTAGCAAAAAAAAAAAAAAAGGATATACATGTGAGTGCATGTTACTTCCTTAATGTAAATCACAAGCCTTTGGCTTCATCCATCTGCCCAGTTCCTAACACTTATGTCTTAAAGGTAGAGGTTCCCCTTGACAATTTTTGTCCTGTCGTGTCTGACTCTAGGCGGCGGTGCTTGTCTCCGTTTCCAACCCATAGAGCTAGCTTTTGTCTGCAGACAATCGTCCATGGTCACGTGGCCAGCGTGACTAGACACGGAACACCATTTACCTTCCCACCGAGGTGGTACCTATTTATCTACTTGCATTTTTGCATTTTGCATGTTCTCGAACCACTAGGTTGGCAGGAGCTGGGACAAGCGACGGGGGCTCACTTTGTCCCGTGGATTCGATCGTAAGACTGCAGGTCTTCCTGTCGCGTGGATTCGATCGGAAGACTGCAGGTCTTCTGACCTTGCAGCACAGAGGCTTCTGCAGTTTAATCTGCAGCGTCACCACATTCCTTTAACATTTATGTCTTAGGATCGGGTAATTAGACTGCTGAGAATGAAAATGACAGGATCTGAGAGCTCTGTGAAGAGAAGCACCTCTTCCATTTATGCACAGATAATGGCAGCTTGCATAGTTCAAATCACAGCGGAAGGACATGCACCCACATGATCTTTGGGCACGGAGTAGCTTCCCTTGAGAGCTTTTGTAGGAAGTTTCTTGACTGCTTAATTACAAGCAGCCCACATCTACAGCAGTGATGAAAGATAAAATACCAGGCAGTAATTCCATTTTGTTTGTATTTGGGCAATCGAATGACTGTGTCTGCTTAAAGGATTCATATTTACTTATATATAAAATAATTTTCTTAGATTTTTTTAAATAGCTGTGGCCTCCACCTTATGCCATATGTAGGACCTGAGTCTACCAAATATCACCTCTTGTATGGATGGTATAAAAGAAACCATTTTTTAAATTTCTAGGAATTTATAGTGCATGTTTGTAATGTTGGCACTAGTGACTTCCATTAGAAAATAAATAAATCAATGCTTTGATTCTTTAATATATTTAGATTCTACCCTTCATCTCAGATAAGCTCTCAGACCAGCCAACCTTTAAACCAGTCATTCACAACCTTTTTTTTGCCACGTTTTAGGAGCTCTTCCCAGGTTCTATTAAAGCAACAAGGGTCAAACTGTTGTTCAAGTGTAGAAATAACTAGATATTAAAATACAAATAAGAGAATACCAGACACAGAGTGGGGTTATTAAAAATGAACCCAGAGCCAGCAGGATAAAAATGCGTAATGAGGAAAGCCTTCGCCTGATACTAGCAAGGTTAGTCAGCACCAGGTTTGCTTCTCTATAGAGGGCTTTCCAAAATACACCAGAGAAGAAAGCCCTTTCTCATCTCATCACTCATCTCACAGATGGCAAGAGGATCTGAAAAAAAGGCCTCCGAAGGAGATCTAAGGGTCTATGTGTGTGAGCAAGGTTTTTTTTTCTTAAGACACTTATTTTAACATTATTAAACATGGGATTGTGCTTGGAAACACACTGAAAGCTAGTGCAGAAAGGATTTCATTCACCTTTGTGTGAGAACAAGAAACCACAAAAGGTTTCTCCTGGCCTATGAGAGCACGAGAGACCACCTGTAGGTTTTGTGGCGCTGCACAAATGCAGAAACAATTTTAACACAAATAACCCATGTTGTGCAAAACTATGATGGCCGATTTTTTGTTTTACGGACATTTAAGAATTAGAAGCACGGGATGAGTTGTCTGCATCTTCTTGAAGAAATGCCTCATCCTTCTGTGTTTGCCATCAATTACAAGAGAAGCGATCAGGTTACCTCTGTTCAGGAGGGATCAGAACTGTCACATCTGCTTGTGAAAGATGCTTTGTGCCTTGGAAGTCCCTTGGGCCTTAAATGGTAGATAGAATATGATAGCGTTCACAAGAACCATAGAATAATTGAGTTAGAAGGGGCCTATATGGTTATCAAAGCGTGCTGCTTATACACCGCCCCATAGTGCTTCAAGCACTCTCTGGGCGGTTTACAAGTTAATTATGCAGGCTACACATTTGCTTTATCAAGGTGAACCCCCTGCTCGATGCAGGATTCAGACCAAAGCAGATGGTTGTCCAATTTTTTCCTGAATGCCTCCAGTGCTGGAGCACTCACCACCTCTTCAGGAAATTGGTTCCATTTTTAACAGTTATGAAATTTTTCCTGATATTCAGTCTAAATTTGGCTTGTTGTAGCTTGAGCCCATTATTACTTGTCCTGCCCTCTGGGATGATCAAGAACAGAACCTGCCCCTCCTCTGCATGACTACTTTTCAAGTACAGTGGACCCTCTACTTAAGGAATTAATCTGTATTGGAATGGTGGCTGCAAGTCGAAAAGTCTGTAAGTCGAATCTCCATTGACCTACAATGCACTGAAAACCGATTAATCCCATAACCAGTGGTTTTTATTCTATTTTTATTCCATTTTGGTTTTTTTCTGGTCTGTAAGTCGATTCTCTGGCTGCAAGTCGAATCTAAATTTTGCAGCCAGAGAAGTCTGTAACTCGAAAAGTCTGTAAGTCGAGCCGTCTGTAAGTCGAGGGTCCACTGTACTGAAATGAGAGCTTGAAGGTTATTTTAAATAAGCAAGTAGTTTCTGTTATAGTTGAAAGTTTTCCTTAGAGTTAATCAGTTATTGTAATGACTGTAGTTTTAAAAATGAAACTCAGCATGACTCACTTAATGAGGCTATATTCCATGTAACCATAAAAGTAATTTTAAATACTAAATTTAACACTGCAAAAGGAGTGAAATCATCCCATATTACATTAAACTGCATCCATTGGTTCATGTTTATCATGACTCTGGAATTTGCAAAGCATGCTAAAGCATGCTGCTTATATACCACCCCATAGTGCTTCAAGCACTCTCTGGGCAGTTTACAAGGCTACACATTGCCTCCCCAGCAAGCTGGGCATTCATTTTAACAACCTCGGAAGGACAGAAGGCTGAGTCAACCTTGAGCCGCTACCTGGGATTGAACTCCAGGTCATGAGCACAGTTTTGGCTGCAGTACAGCGGTTTAACTACTGTGCCACGAGGCTCTATATTTGTGCCACGAGCTCTCTAATTTGGAATTTTTCTTTACCAAAATTTTTATTGCTTTCTATTATTTATTATTTTATTGCTTTCTGTTATTGTTATGTTTGGTTGTGTTTGCTGCCCAGTAGCTTTGCTACTAGTTGGGCTGGATAAAAAATGTAAAGAAAGAGATGAAGAGAGAGAAAAAAGAAAGATTTACTTTTGTAACTTTATAATTAAAAGAAAGGAACTACCTGTTATCTGTAAGTTGTTTCTCTTAATTTCTGCAGACATGTTGATGTTTAATGGGGAGTATGTCAACCTGTCCTCTCTCATTCTTCCTTGGAACTCTTTTCAGTTGTTTAAAGCATCATTCAGTCCCCAAAAATGCTTACACATGGATATGTCCAGAATGAATTGAATGTAAGAATTCACCTCCTACTGAGTCAGGCAACAGTTCTATCCAATTGTGCTAATTGTCTGCTCTAATTAAAAGCATTTTTCATAGATCTCGGGCTTCAGACTTTTCCATTCCCTCCTTTTAAGGAGAGTGTCAGTAGCTTTCTCCACATAAAATATTTGTCCTATCATTCAGGCTGTTTGAGAGTTCAGATGAGGCTTGGGCCATTTCATGTTGTGAAGTGCCCTTATTATTTAGGAAAAGGAGTAGAAATAGTTTAATATAAAGACTGACCTTTATGTATAAAAATGTGTAGAAAGCATGACAGTCATGCAGCCTTGGCTGAGGCGAGCCCCACTGTGATATGAGGTCTGGGCCAAACTGTCTACCATCATTAAACTGTGCCCCTCTGCCTCTCTCTCTCTCTCTCTCT